ACTGTTGCACCGGTTGAAAAGAAGAAGAAAATACTTAAAGAATGGATCTTTGGGTCAGGACAATTGAATTTCTGTGTGTTGATTTTATGTATTTCTATCCTTGTGCTTGACTGTTCCTCCTCTTACTGTGTTTTCACTGTCATATTGTGTCTCTTTCTAGTCTCTTAGTATCAGCTGCTTTAAGGTACTCTGAAGAAAAAAAGGAGCGATATAAACTTGTGAGGACACAAATATTACAAATAGAGATGAGGTATTCATATACGAATATCCCCGCGTAGCTGGACTCAACAAGGGGTTGGCCCCTGTGGCCGGCCCATTCACTCACATGTCCTGTAGCAGTGGCAGCCTCACTCATCTTTCCAATCACTCCCGGAGCGCCACTCTCTTCCTGCTTGGCTAGCGACTCAACAGCCATGCAGGGAGACTCGTCCTCCCTCCCACTGCCTGGAGTGGCCAGGTGAGCAGGAAGAGAGTGGAGCTCCAGGAGCGACTGGAAGGATGAGCGAGACTGCTGCCACCGCTAGACACATGAGTGGATGGACCCACCATATATGAACATGAATACCCCATCTCTAATTACAAATTAACAATGATAATCAAACAGATAAAAGCCCTCAAAAGCTTTTAAGCTATACTCCTGAACACATGAACATAGTGGGGCTTATTACTGAATAATCACAAACACCAATCTGGAAAAAATCATCTGCATACAGATTTGCTCATCAACACCACACGCACACACACACACACATACACACATACAAAACCCGAACTGAGTAAACTGTAAAGAAGCATTAAATTGGGGGTCCTGTGCAGATTGGTAAATGGAATACATTTGTCTTTTTAAAACACAATGGTGAAAACAAAATGAGTAGATCAGATAGGCAGGGTATAAATGAAATAAGTCAAATACATAAATAAATAAATAAACAAACAAACAAATAAACTTTTAAAAAAGTAAAAAAACAAAAACAGGGTGGCATGGCTACCCCTTCTAAAACTATAAATAAAAATGTTTTCTCCTAGTGCATGTAGATAAGTTTGCACACAGTTCTTAGTGACTTCATTTACACTGACATCACCGTGAGTCCTGAATCTGGAAGCAGTGGAAATGCAACAAAAGCTCTTTCAATTTTGTTTGGGGAACCAGTGGTTCTTGTACCAAGCACTTTTGTGTAGAAAGCTGCGCATACCTCTTTGAGAAGATAACCATCTGATGTGCTCCTGACAGTGCACGGAGAAGGAGACACACAAAAAAGGGCACATGCCCCCTTCTTTTTACGAATAGGTTTTCTATATGCTTTGCTAGCACATATGTTGTAAAAGAGTTTTAGAGCAACACACAGCCTGGGAGCTGTAAACAGCCCACAAAGCCATTTTTATGTCCCTTGCCAAATAGGGGAGGCTGAAATTGAAGGGCACATTTGTTGTTGTTGTTGTTGCAATAAATTGCTAAAACTAAACATCATTAAAGTAGACTTTCTTCATGTTGTTTGCTGCCAAAATTCAGAAGAAGCCAAGAGACATCTGCTAAGAAGCCCATTGTCTGTTTCTTTCTCTGGCTTTTCCTGGTTTTCAGTTGAATTTCACCAACATGGTAAGGGGCAACACGATTAGCTGCAGATTCTAGGAAGATGAGATTGGCTCTCAGATGTGCCAAAGTTGCTTGTGCTTCGGGTAGAGAATCTAACTTGAACTTGAGAAACCAAGTTCACTCAAGCCACGCTGGTACCACGAATTGTGCTGCTCTGCCATTTCTTCTTTCACAAAATAGGGTGGGAATTAGAGTGGTCCGACCTTCCAGACCCTTGCTGGAGATAAACCATTGCTTGGTAGAACTTTCTAAAATATAAACTGAAAATGAGAACTAGTGCTCTAAAAGTCAGGGATTTTTAACTCCTTCATATGTTTTTTTTAATGTTTATTTATTTATTTTATTTATTTATTTCATATATAACCCACCCATCTGGTCTGGTCGACCACTCTGTTGTTATCTGTACCCTGGGATTCCTTTTGCCACTAATGACTGTGGCTGTTTACAGAACAAAGCTTCAAAGGAAAAGAACTGAATATTAAACAGGGGTCTTAAGTCATTACTAGATGTAAATGCCATGATGACTCACACATATATCTGTGAAGATTCTCAGTCATCCAGGTGAGGTTATCTGGAAGATGAGTCATAGCAACTGGACTTCTTTCTTGTTAGGTGGAAACATTTCGCTACTCATCCAAGTAGCTTCTTCAGTGCAGAAAGCTACTTGGATGAGTAGCGAAACGTTTCAACCTAATAAGAAAGAAGTCCAGTTGCTATGATTCAACGTCCAGATATGACTCACACAGTTTACAGCTTGTCCCTAAGCACTGTCTCTTTATCTTAGAGCCTTCAATAAATGTTTTGTCATGCACTATCTGTATTCCAGCTCTTATGTCTGAAGGGGAGGACTTGTTCCATGAAAGTTCACATTAAAATATAGCAGTTAGTTTTTAAGATCCCACACATTTTTGGCATTTTTATATTTTTGTTTTTCTTTTGTTTCCTGTTGATTGGTGAGCCTAGTGATTTTGATTTTGCCTGTTATGCTAGTTAGGTAGTTTTTGAGTTTTTTCTCTTTGAAATCCAGACACCAAGTAGTCTCTCAAATTGCTTTGGGAACTTCCCTGAAATTCAAATGTTTCTTTTTTTCTTTTTTGCCATGTAACAATAGCAGGTGAGGTCCATGAAGTTCATGAAGAGAGTTTTTGAGGAAAGAAATACCTAAGCAGCATAGTTTGGGAAAGTAACATTTTTGAACTACAACCCTTTGGCTGCAGTGTTCAGGGGTTTGCGGGAGTTAGACTCAAAAATGTAACTTTTCCAATTTCTGTAGAGTGTTTCTTGTCATTGTGATATGGGTTCTGAACAGGTGCAGAGCAGGACTATCAGGCAGAATTGCTTAGGCAGCTGTCTCAAGTGACGGAGACTGGGGTGTGAAGAGCAACAACAAGGGGGTGAAAGACAAGAGGTAGTAAACTAAACAGTCTGCCCTTGGCCCTCTAAAGCAATGGTTCCCAAATGTGGGTCTCCAGATGTTCATGGACTAAAATTCCCAGAAGACTTTACCACTAGCTGCACTGGCCAGGATTTCTGGGAGTTGTAGTCCAAGAACATCTGGGGACCCAAAGTTGAAACCACTGCTCTGAAGTGAGCATTACTCCCTCAGGAGGACACTGTTCTAGGGCAGTTGTTGAAAGAAGATGAAAGAGTGTTCCTTCCACACCCTAAATTGGGCAGATTGTATCTCCCAGAAGGCAATGGCAGGTTGTGTTTGTTTCAAAACCATGTGGGACCAGGTCTTCCAGAACAGACAAGCCCTGACCACTTTGGGCCATCTTAGTTGGAACTTGGGCCACTTTGTGTTTCTGCTGGTTCCAGGGCCCTTCATCATATTTGCCAACTCCTATCTTAAAGACGTACAGTAAGTGCTAGAAAAAGCTAGGGCCAGTCCTATTATTAACTAGTATCAAGCAGCTGCCAGCTGCTTAAAATGATAGATTTTTCCATATAACAAAAAGGCAGCAAGTTGTTAGTTATTGTTGCATTCTTACTGTCTGCAACAGGTGCTTGAAAGATGTTCTGCTTCGGTGCCAAAATGCCTTCTTTGGGCTATGTGGCTTAATTTTCAGGTGGAGTGCTATTATATGTTTTGCCTCAAGCAGCAAAATATCCTGGGCCAACCCTGTTTCAACAGACTGCTTAACAAAAAGAGACTGAGAAGCTTTTTCACTCGGAGAGCAAAAAATTATCTGTGGTGGCAACACAGATAATCAAAGGAATAAGTAAAAAAAGCGGGTCTTTAGACAATTACATTATATCACAAATTATCCCCATGTACACAGTACATTTATTTTATTTCTTTAAAGTGTTTGTATACCACCCAACAAGCATCTTTTAGAGAGATAAAAACAAAGAGAGTTAATTAAATCCAAATTACAAACATTGCAATAAAAACTGCCAGAGCAGACTCAAGATGACAAAATATTAGAAAACTGAGATATTAAAATGAAACCAAGTGCTACCATTTAAAAACACAACCCTTTACTAATAATACTATAAATAAAATTGCAGACAGAACATATGCTAAAAGATGACCTTAGTCTGCTATGTAGAAAAGTAACTGATGCCAGGTGGAACTTTTTTGGAAAGGAATTCTACAGACCACTAATGATCTTTCTGTGGTAGCTTTCCATTGTGCCATTGTGGGTAGCAGCATCCACAGAACACTTTCTGGTAATGGTCTTTGTAACTGGGCAGGAGCTTATGGGGCCTAGTGCACCTTTACGGATACTCGCCCTAATCCATTTCTAGCTTTAAATGTACATATCAGTGTCTTTGATCCTTGGACATCTGATGGTAAAGCATAGGTGTCTGCAGTCTGTCGGAGTGTCCATGCACATTTTTTTTTTAAAAAAACCCACTTGTGCAAATGTCTGTGCTTAAAACAGAGATATCCATTGAGGAGAGTCAATGTTGTTGGGTCAGCAGTGTCTCCTCTTCCTTATCCATGTGTACCTAAGAGCTCAAAAGTGCTACTGTATTTTGTTTTTGGACTATAGCTTCCAGAACCTGGCCATGCTAGCTGTAATGCAAATGCAAAACAAAGCAAGACAAAACCTTTTCCAACCTTTGGTCCACGTTATCTATAGGAACAGGGCTTTGGACATTGGCATACTTAAGTGATGGTATTTCTGTGATCGCAAGGGGAATCAGTATTTCTCTGGTCTACACAACCAGCCCTTTGGGTACCATCCAGCTGAAGTTTCCTTGGAATCTGTTGTTATCGAAATCAATGGGACTTAATGGGTTGAGTCACATAGTTTGTGGGAAATGTCCTTTCTTTGATTTATTTGCCTGCCTGATCTTTGAAATGACCACTATCTCATTATTTTTAAACATTTTGCCTTCTTCTGAATATGTCTCCCTTAGTACATATTCTTAGGACTACAAGGCTAGAGAGATTTTCCTGGGGTTTGTTTTGTTTCATCATATGATTGTTATTTAGGATTCATTTTTATTGTGGTAATTTGTATTGTGAGCTTTAATTTTGTCTTTGTTTGAATTATATTGTACCGTGGAAAGGGTCTGTTTATTTGTTCACACATCAGCATTGCATATTTTTATGTAAGCATCACCATCATGTTGATTTGCTGATTAATGTTTTAAGTCTGAGTGCTAGTGTAAGGCATTTTTAAAAATGGTGGGCTTTAAAAAGAGAGTTATTCACAATGCCAAGCTCCAGTCACTTTAGATTTTTCAAATTTATCCAAATCTAGCAGTTTATTATGGCTATTAGTCACTTGTTCCATCTATTGAAGTTGACACATGTTTGGTAACTAATGGGAAATTCATAGAATAGAATCATTTAATTATGCATACTTACAGACCATATTGTCCCATCAATTTTTCATTGGCTTCTCATGGCTGTCAGAAGGGAGCTACTAAAACATTGATGGCACATTGCAAAGTGGTGTGCTGTGTTCTATTTTAAACACAGAACAAAGAAGGTTTTTTTCTGGAGTAGACTCCAAGGGGAATAAACTGAAACATTGCCACCCCCAGCATGTCACGTAAGGACATAAGACAAGTCAAATTACAGTTCATATTTTAACTAGCAAAGCCTCAGGCCATAAAAACAAGAATAAAAGAACAGCCTTAGCGTTACAGTGCCCTAATATTTCAAGTAAGCTCTGCAAGAAGTCTAAGAATAATAGTATCTTTTCTCACTCATCTACTTTTACCTGACAAGTATTTTGTTGATAGCAGGATATGTAGTGGTTTCCGTTATGCTTCAACGAAGGTCTTTCCCCCTCTTTTTCAAGCGCCCTAATCGTTCTTCTTTTGACTCAGTGTTCTTGAGGTTTTCCAGAATCTGGCTTAGAGAGGAAGACAGGAACCAGCAAAATATTATATAGCTCTTCAGTCTTTTCTTCTGTCACGAAGAATAATAGTGCAATTTATACTGCTGCTGCTACTGCCGAATGAAAAACAGAAAATGTTACAGGACTTCTTCAGTTGCCAAAAACAGAAGATGAAACGTTCATTCCCAGCTACTGGAGGTTTCCAAATCTGGGCTGCAAAACTGCCTGGAAGTCTTGGTGCTTGGTTTGGCAAATTGCTGAAACTCTTCATATCTTTACCTCTAAAATCTATTCTTGAGAACCAGTGAATTGTAGTGGACAGACAGAGTGACAGACAAGAACTCAGGAAACTGGGATTCACATCCCTGCCTCCCTAGGGAAACACACTAGGGGGTGGCAATGGTAGAACTGGTGCTTTTATATTTCACATACATAACTTAAGACTCTGTTAGTGTCACCATATGTCAAATGCAATGAAGTATGTACTGCTGACCATGAGAGTCACTATTGTTCTTTGAAATACAATGTGCAGCTGGGATGGAGGAAATTAACAATTTAAGGTGTGATCCCATTGGGAAATAGATTGCAATTTGTGATTTATTTCTGGAAATCATACAACACATGAGGAAATGCACTCCAGCCTTAGGATCTGTGCCCAAGCTGAACTGTTTTGGACAAGCTGTAGGGCTACTACTTTTTAGGGGTAGAGTGATTCTCCAACAGATGGAAGAGTCCCATTAAAGTGATCTGTTCCAGATGTGATCAGACATTTGCCTTTCCATCCATCTGCTCACCACCCTTACACTAAAATCACTTGCTAGAGCAGTTGAGTAGGCAACCATCAGTCTATGAGTGAAACAGGAGACTGAAGCAGGGGGTCTTGAAGCAAAGCGTAATAGTCTGAGATACTAGACTGGCTTATTTATACTTTAAGAGTAACCTTGCAGATTTCCTGCAAGTTTCCACTCCATTGAGTGGGTGTTTGCCTGGTGAAATCCAAAAAAGGATAATGTCAAATATGTTTGGAGATATGTAAGGAAGCATCACCAGTCATAATGACATTGTTTAGAGAACTAGAAGTGTTTGTTGCAGGAAATCATGATATAGCACCAGCGAATTCCCACACAGCAAATGTGACTGCCATGTAGTATGACTCAGGTCTATCTGTTTTTATGTCAGAACATGGTTGAAATTCTGTAGTACAACTCTTGGAATCCAGGGAGAATAGCCATGAGAACTGGGGGATCGTGGAAGTTCTGCTCCAGAAAAGTAATATAAACAACCTCTGTTCCAAGGCTGTTTACTTACTTCAGCATCACTTCAGTTAAATGCCATGGGACCTCTTATGGAAGTCCGTTTAGAACCAGAATATCAAACTCCTTAACACACAAGTCAAGTAGTATCATGAAAATTCATTTAACTCCATTAGGATTTACTTCTATCACAAATGGGAACTCCAAGTTACAGTTGGCAATGTCTTTGATTAATGCTTATCATTTATGCTGGTGAAATAGTCAGACAGTTTAAATAACTAGAATTATAAATTGTATACATTACAGGATTGGAAGCTTTCAAAGTAAGTAAAAAGTTGCCAGCCTTATATAGAACGGCAAAACAAGTTTGTACCTAATTTCTGCTGAATATTGCTGGACCACTACTCTTTTTGAAAAGGTAATAGCATGTACATCCACTTGCAGATAAATGGTTTGTCTCCAGAGTTTCACCATGGAAAAATGGTGAGCCATAGATCAAAGGCAATAGCATCAGCAAATGGGAAGCAAGTATAGGATGGAATAAGAATAAGTCTCTCTAATATATGACTGATGGTACAGTGTGCAATGTGTGGCCACCAAACACTGATAAAGTTAAGTTCAATGTAATGTAATTTGTATGTTGTGATGGAAGCCATCTTCAAAATAGCAGATTGGTAGCTTAACAAAAAATAAAGCCAACAGTTTCATTCAGTGACTAAAAACATTTATTTCTAAATTCTTAAGCTTTTCAAAAGGATTACATTTTTTCATAATGGACAGATGTCTAATTCTAAATACTTTCAGGTGTTTTGATTCAGAGACACTTTACGTATCTTTTGCATGGTTACTGGAATTCTCCTCCCTATCATACGTGCTTAAAGATTTGGCTGCTATTTGAGTCTGTGGGTATACCAATCATAGTTCTCCATAAAAAAAGCTATCTGTGTGTAGGTCCATGACTTGGTTTAGAGATAGAATGAATTCATCTCAGTCTCTATTCCATTCCTTGGGGAGAATAAAAATGTTCTGTCATTTCTGAGAACGAAGAACAGAGGTTTTGAAACATACTGTACCTCACCAGTTTTTTCGTCCAATTAATATATGCAACAATCTATCTCATTTTCATATAGAGGAAAATAATAACAAGTGGCTTTCATATTTTTAATATTTTATTGAGGAAAGGCTTTTATCTTTATGTTTCAAGGTATATGAAAATGTGAAAAAAGCACTCTTCTTTATGTCTGATTTTGGGCAATTTCAAGTTATTAAAGCCTTCTACAATATATAAGTGAAATTTAGTTCATATGGATAATCAGCACAGTCTGATTATCTGAAAATTGGATATTGGCAGCCAGTCTTCTTTCAGGGTTGTCTGTCAATCTCTTTCCAAGCATGAACATTCTTTCAAGCAAGAAACCAAAGTATTCCTCCCCCACAGTCTCTTTTAAATAAAACTTCAGCTCTTGCAGGTCTCCAGGTGAAGAAAAACAACAGTTTCTCTCTCTCTCTCTCTCTCTTTTTTCATGAGTGGAGGCCTGGGGGGCTTCATGAGGACTTGGTGAGTAAAAAATTGTCTTGAAGGCTTCACCTATAAAGCCCTATACAATTTGGGCCCAGGCTATGTGAAGGACCATATCTTCCCATATGAACCTTTCCAACTGTTAAGATCTTCAGAGGAGACCCTCCTCTTAGTCCCCTTGCATTGCAGGCACGTTTGAAGGAGACATGAGAGTCAACCTTCTCTGTGGCTGCTCTCAGATTCTGGAAGGCTCTCCCTCAGGAAGTTAGGTTAGTCTCTTCCCCTTTTATCTTTCCACTGACAACTGAAGACTCATCACTTCATGCAGGCTTTTATTAACCACAACTGTGTTCCTGGTTGTGGGATTTTTGTTTGTTTTTTAAGCCTGTTATTAACATTTCAGAAGCTTTTAAATTAATCCATAGATTTTTAAATATTATTGCATGTTTACTTATTTTTTTAACTTATAATTTATTGTGCTGCCTTGGGTCCTCTTCACTGGGAGAAAGGCAGCCTACAAATGATACAAAACAAACAAACTTAGCTTCTCCTTGCTTTACCTTCAGGATGCTGTTATGTGTCTGTTTCCCACAAGACATAACATTGACTTCTTCCAGGAATTTCCAGGGTTTGGCACAGAGAGTTGCTGTTCTGAAATAAAGCAGATGGATGAAATAGTAGAGATGTTGAAGCAAAAAAATATATTTAGTTTTCTTCACCTGACGCTTTATAAACCATGACATTCTGTTGTGGCGGCAAGTATAGAATTAGCATGCCATGACAGTAAAACATAAACAACAGTGTATAGGAAGAAGGTGTCCTCACAGGGAGTCAACACTGTAATCATTCCAGTCCTTTACAGAAGCTGATTACAGAGCGCTGCTGTGGTAAGGTGACCTTCAGCCAGCAAAATCCAATCAAGGTTATCATACATATTAATAGCTTTTAATAATGTAAAGGAAATACAGTCCAAATTAATGAAGATGTATTATACAGGTGCTGTACGTTTTACCTTCTAACGGAAATCTTTATGCCATTTGGAGACTGCACGATTATTACTGCAAATTCAAATGATTGCATCTAGAATCTGAGCTGAAAGAGCATTTAGAACTAAACTAGATAAGCAAAAAGATGTTCAGCTGACAGGGTACAAAATCTAATCAGCTGTTTCTATTCCACAGTGTGGGAGGGAAAATGGGGTTATCTGAGTCCTAGTAATTGAAATATTCCATTTTAACCTATATGCACTGGATTTTTTAAAAAGGCAAACTATACTGCTTCTATATTTGTTTGTTTGTTTGTTTGTTTGTTTGTTTATTTATTTATTTATTGTGGGAGGGAAAATGGGGTTATCTGAGTCCTAGTAATTGAAATATTCCACTTTAACCTATATGCACTGGATTTTTTAAAAAGGCGAAATGTACTGCTTCTATATTTATTTATTTGTTTATTTATTTGTTTTTTTATTTATTTGATTTGATTTGATTTGATTGGTATCCCACCCATCTGGTCTATGCGATCACTCTATACCGCCCCATAGCATGTAAAGCGCTTTGGGTGGTTTACAATTCATTTATGCAGGCTACACATCCACCCCCCACCCCAGTGAGCTGGGCACTCAATTTACCCATCTGGGAAGGATGGAGAGCTAAGTGAACCTCAAGCCAACTACCTGGGATTGAACCAAGCCTGTGAGCTGAGTTTTGGCTGCTGTACTGCAGTTTAGCCACTGCATGACCCAAAAACTAGGTTGCAGCATATCTCAGTGGTTACATAAAATAGGATTTTCAATTAACAACCCTACCTTCATCAATAAACCACTTCACACAAGCTAATATAATATTTTATTACAGTTTTCAAAAAGATATTCCACAAAGTTGAAGCGGATATGCCATTCTCCTCTACATCAAGTTCAAAGAAAAAGACCATCTTTCCAGTATACTACATACACACAGCAAGAAAAGTAGCATTGGATTCCATTGTCTCCTGACAATGCGGGTGGCGGCAGGTAAATATACAAACGGTTTCCCTGGAAATATATTGTCATCCATGTTTAGTTATGTACTTTCAAGGTCTATAAATATATTTGCAGAGAATAAAAGGAGACCAGAATAGCCTAAAACTCAAATTCCGCCTTCGGTTTCCTCATAATAACAATGTATTTCTATGAAAGAGCCTAAAACCTGTCTTTTAACAACATAGGTTGAGCCAGAATTGTGCTTCCAGAGACTCTGTTTAACTTAGGTCTCTTTTTTTAAACCATCCTAAACTATTTTCACAATGGGTAGGTTGAATCACTGGATCCCATCAATTGCAAGAATGAGAAAGGATGCAATCCTAAGAGTCCCAGGTTTGTCAATTCCCATCCAAATAGGGGCCATATTCTTCAATATAAGGCAGTGGGATAGATGCCAATAGGTTGAGTGACCTTTTTTTTAAAAAAAAAATGGAATGGGGAGGAAGCCCCTCAAAATCTGTATGGCATGAGGTGAAGCCCAGTACTTCAAACTGGTTGTAAAAGGTTGTGGAAATTTGAAGCTCACTTTAAGCATATCTGGCCAATATTATTTGAGACATTTTCTCTTTCTTTCCTCACCCCAGCTGTCCCCAGCCAGGTGAAAAGTCTTACTTGAATCGAAAGCTGTTGTCTGTTTTTAAGAGTCAGCGGTCTAATAAAGATCTCACCAACCCTTGTTTCTGGATCTTGTACAGGGGCCACATGGGTGGTTGTTTTAATTATTATTTCTTTATTCATTGATACCTAGTGTGATTAATATTCAGTGGAGTGCATCTATAAGAGAAAAATATTACTTTGGCTAGGAACCAGTGGGTTTTTCCCCCCACAGCTGGAACTGGGAGGATGATTCTCTCTCCTGTCCATCCTTGTGCCCTCAAAACGTTGCTCTAGACTAGAGGGCAGGGAAACTTTCCAGAATAGATTCTTCAAGTGGCATGAGGGCTAAAAGACTCTACAGTGGGGTCTCGACTTACGAACTTAATCCGTATTGGAAGGTGGTTCTCAGGTCGAAAAGTTCGTAAGTCGAATCTGCATTTCTCATAGGAATGCATTGAAAACCATTTAATCCGTATCTGCTCTTTTCCGTCCATAGAAACTAATGGGAAGCTGCTATTCCACCTTCAGCCACTAGAGGGGGATATTTTTTACTTTTTCCTTTTAACCTAAGATGACTTAGATTTTTTTAAAAAGGAAAGAAAAGAGTTCGTAACTCGAATCTAAGTTCGCAAGTCGAGTCCATATATTCCTATGAGAGCGGTTCGTAAGTCGAAAAGTTCGTATGTAGAACCGTTCGTAAGTCGAGACCCCACTGTACCATGCTAGAGTTTGGACTGCTGGTGCTAGGTTGGATGTAGGCCTTTGAATTTCGGCACTAGACTCCAAAGGACCATGGAATTAGTTTCAGTTGAAGAAGGGATAGTTGTGTTAGTCTGTGCAAGCATTATAGATAAAAGCAACATAAAAATAAAAAGGAAAAAAAAAAGAGACAAAAATGTGGTGGCAAGCACTTTAAAGACCAACTTTTATATTGATTAATGTGAGTTTTTGTGGACATGCACATGAAAGTTTTCAATAAAAAATATAAAAGTTAATCTTTAAGGTGCCATCACAGAATTAGTTTTGTGTTCTTAAGAGTTTTCCAAATTGTGCTTCTTGAACCACATCCCCTATTTGTATTGGACACTCCGCATGGCACAGAGCTGCCTCCGTGGTAGCGCTTTGCCTGCCCGCTCAGAACTGCCAAGCGCAGGCTTGTGACACGGAGGCCGAGGGGGTGGAGTCCGGGTGAAGAGTCTTTTATCAGGATGCCTCCCCCTAGCTTGGCCTCTTTTATGGTGTCGGCAGTGCGGAGGATGGAGGGCTGTCAGATCCTCCGATCAGCCTTGAGCTGCCTCCTGGCACTGTGTTTGAGGCCTGGGTTTTTTGCATGATAGTGGAGTTTGGGATGTCGCAGCAGCGAAGTTAATCTTTAAGGTGCCATCACAGAATTAGTTTTGTGTTCTTAAGAGTTTTCCAAATTGTGCTTCTTGAACCACGTACCCTATTTGTATTGGACACTCCGCATGGCACAGAGCCGCCTGCGTGGTAGAGCTTTGCCTGCCCGCTCAGAACTGCCGAGCACAGGCTTGTGACACGGAGGCCGAGGGGGGGGAGTCCGGGTGAAGAGGCTTTTATCAGGCTGCTTCCCCCTAGCTTGGCCTCTTTTATGGCGTCGGCAGCTGTCAGATCCTCCGAGCGGCCTTGAGCTGCCTCCTGGCACTGTGGTTGAAGCCTGGGTTTTTTGCATCATAGTGGAGTTTGGGATGTCGCAGCAGCGCGCCCCCAGAGTTAGGGAGTCATTTGGGGGCTGAGGCTGCTGAAGCCTCTTGAGTATTTCCCACTCATAAAATAAAACAGAATACAGATAAATAAAAATATAATGTATAAATATTAAGTATCAATACATATGATAAATTGGAATAAATAATTATATATAGGATTAGTTATACAATTTAATAATAATACTAATAAGAGAGAGAGGGAAGAGCTTTGTCCTCCTCCTCCCGGGAGGCTGGGCCAACAAGTGGCTGGATCAAAGCTTTTACATAAGGGATTAGGATGTGCTTTATATTATAAATTCTGGACCTCTAGGGGGCAGTGCTCATCCCCGTTTCCAAGCCATAGAGCCAGTATTTGTAAGGAATTAGTATGCACTTTATATTATAAATTCTGGATTGGCAGTTGTGCGGGAGGGGAAAGAAGTGTTTTAGTGAAGTGAGAGTTGTTAAGTCAATTAATATATGGGTGTGTGTTGGTGTATATACATGTTAGTGTGAGGTGTGTGTGTAGGTATATACAGTCGTGCCCCGCTGGACGATTACCCCGCTCTATGACGAATCCGCTTTATGTTGACGTTATTTTAAATGGGCGGGGTTTGCTGTGCGATGATCGGTTCCCTGCTTCGGGAACCGATTTTCACTTTACGATGATCAGCAAACAGCTGATCGTCGGGTTTCAAAATGGCCGCCAGCTGAAGAAAATGCCCCCCCCCCCGCTGTTTTCTAGGATGGATTTCTCACTTTACAGGCACCGAAAATGGCCGTCATATGGAGGATCTTCGCTGGACAAGCAGGTATTCAGCCCATTGGAACGCATTGAACGGTTTTCAATGCGTTTCAATGGGTTTTTTAATTTCATTTGATGACGTTTTCGCTCTACAGCATATATAGCTTTAATAACATAGCGCCTAAAAAAGGTCAAGGGAGTAGAAAAGGCAAGCAGCCTGCAAAACATAAGGTGCCAACTAGTGCAACCCCAGTAAGGTACAGCATATATAGCTATAATAACACCAATCTGGAAAGAATAATTGTGATATTAGTGGGACTTTAATTAATCAAATAATTAGATCACTACATAAATAAATTCATATATAGATAAAGTAGGATAGAATACGAAGTAGAAGAGAGAGGTGGAGACAATGAATTGGTATAAGCAGCGCTCAATTGTTCTGCCAGTCATTTAACATAGCACCTAAAAAAGGTCAAGGGAGTAGAAAAGGCAAGCAGCCTGCAAAACATAAGGTGCCAACTAGTGCAACCCCAGTAAGTTCATCTTCAAATGGGGAGGACTGGCCGGACTATGGGGACATTTTA